TGTAGGGTGTATATGATGAGTGTGTATGTAGGGTGTTTATGATGAGTGTGTATGTAGGGCGTATATGAGGAGTGTGTATATGATGAGTGTATATGATGAGTGTGTATGTAGGGTGTATATGATAGGTGTGTATGTAAGCTGTATATGAAGAGTTTGTAAGTCCATAAATTGTATGTGTACATGAGGTTGTATGTGTGTAAGTATATTTTGTCGTATGATGGTGGGTGGCTATACGAAGTGCTGAACTGTCTGAGATGGAGGACGAAGGTTCTTACACAGGGTTTTAGGGTTTGGGGTTTAGCTAAAACTCGACGTGATTGTGCACATAGGCAGCGCATATGCCATGTATGTTTGTCTATATATATATTCATGCAATTAAAACCCATGTGAAAGTGCTGAGATGCTTGTTGTTAGTTAGCTGAGCATCTATTTGTCGTATGAGCGTGTGGAGGCTGCCTTAACAAGAACTGATTAGGCATGCATACAGTTTGTATAGTTATGGGATATAATAAATACCATGCAAATTGCTGTTTGCCGTATGAGTGTGTGACTGTTTCCTTAGAAAGAACTGGTTAGGCATGCATATAGTTTTGATACGGCCGTTGTTGGCATGTACCAGCGTATTTCTGTGTGTTTGCGAGCATGCGTGTTTGTGACTGTCAAGAGTGTCTCCGCTCAATTTTGACCCTATTGAAGGCTTACACGCTGTATGTATATGTATATGTATATGTATATGTACATGTATATACATGTATATGTATATGTATATGGATATATATCTATATATATATAGGTATATATATATATATATATATATTGGAGTATTGAGGAACCTTTCGCGTGTGTTTCCTTGTTTTCGAATTATGCATGCATGCATGCGATTGTTTACGTGTGCTTGTGTACTGTGTAGTATCCTTAAAGAATTGACATTGTAATTTTGTTAAAAAATTACGACATGGCAAGGAGTGTTTGTTAAGCTAGTGTATGTTTGCGTGTACGTGCATAGTCAAGTGTGTGGGCGTTCTCCTATGAACGGTCTTGTGTTCTACACCTGAAGGTTCGTATATGCTTATGTATACATAATATGCACATGTATCTTCTCCCGAGAGGATATATGTCGCTGCATATTGCAAGTGTTGTTTTTGGATGTGCTGTGTACATCCTTGTGTTGTAGTGGTGGTAGGCTTGCTCATTCCGGTGCGAGTGGTTTTAATTCATGATAGTAAAACTTAACAAGTCGACAAACAGCCCTACAACTTGTCGTTCTGGCATGTGTTTAATTGAGGAAATCAATATACTCCTTGACTTCAACGATTCTGCACTAATTTTGTCGGCTCTTTTGTAGTGTCGGCTCTAACAAAGTCACTGATTTGACGTAATGTGCAGGAGAAAAAAGTTAAAGACAAGCTCGATCTGCAAAAGGACAAAGACAGCAAAGCCGAAAAGAAGGAGAAACGGAAGGCAGCCACCGTGAAGCAGGAGAGGCGCCGATGATGTGAATCTTGAATTCGAATAATCAACGTGACATATAGTGGAATACAGTATAAATTGTATTTTTACTCGTTCTTATTATAGCGTAATTAGTCATAGCCTTTTGAAAATTGAACAATTGGTTTATATATTCTCTTGTTTGCCGGTGCAGTGATCACAATGGCATCACTTGTGGGTTGTTGAAGTGTGCTCACACCAAATTGAAATATATTAGTTGTTATATATTTATATATATATATATATATATATATATATCACAAGAAGGGATCAATAACGTTGCTTCTCCTGTAGTTATTATATCACAAGAAGGGACCAATAAAGTTACTTCTCCTGTAGTTATTATATCACATGAAGGGATCAATAACGTTACTTCTCCTGTAGTTATATTTGTACTAACGGGTTTTGTGGTTTTAGCTACTTTGGAGCGATCGCCGGCAACTTCAATGTTACGTGGCTCATTGGTGTGCAAGCGTTTTGTCGGTGCAGTGATCACAGTGACATCATTTTTTGGTTGTTGAGGTGAGCTCACACCAAATTGAAATGTATTATTGTGATTGTCGTTTGGCGTTGTACTGAGGCGGGATTCAAGGTCCACGATTTTCTCTTGTAGGGTTTTAATTAGGTCGTTGAGCATTGCGATCGACTTGAACAAATTTGCCCAGTCCTCGGGTGAAGGAAATACAAGAGTAGCGTGATTTAAATCCAGCTTGAGTTGCATGGAAGATTTGTTATCAGCTGTAGGAAGCACTTCTCAATGATGCGTCGAACAATCTGCGCCAAGGTTAGCGGTCGGAAATCGGCCGGGGATGCAATACCCGTGTCCGTTTTCTTCAGATGGGCTGCCAAGAGAGTACAGTTGAGAGCTTTAGGGTATGTACAAGCCATTAAGAGGGTGAAGAATGTCTCAGCCAAGATGCTATTAAGTGGGCTGTCAGAATCAGGGCGTCCCATAGTCGGGGGTTCAGTTGATCGTTCTACTGCGGCAATAAGGAGAAGAATATAGATACCATCTGGACCAGGACACTTGTTTGGATAGCACAGTATTACCTCCAACACCATATCCGAGTGAATAACTGCTTTCGATGGAGGTGTTGGTGCTGTGTCCGGTGGGATGACGTGTGGGTTAGGTAGGTTGAAGAGATCTTGGTAGTAATCCGTCAGTGCAGCGCCCGAATCCTGAACACGCGGTATACAAGGCTGACGCGGTGATCGACGTTGATGTGCGATATTCTTATACCTCTGGATGTTGTGCTGGGCAACAGATCGCGGGCGGAACGTGTGATTCGGCAGTCGTTGTACCCACGGTCTGTCAGTGTCCTAATAGTAACCTCCAAAAATGGCAGAGTTCGATGTGTAGCGCCAGATTCGATCTAGTATCCGCTCCAATCCGTCTGACGGACCAAGTATTTACAGGTATGACCGTAACAGATGTTGATGCTCACGGATTTCTGCTTGAAACAACAGGGTGTGGGCCTTGTCGTGTAAATGATGCATTCGGTGGCGATACCGGTTGTAGCCGTGGGATGGAAGACTCTGGTGCTGAGGTGGGGGTTGAGACAGAGGCACTCGCCGAAGACGGATTACTGGTTTATTTGGGACAACCTGAAGATCGACTCCGAATTTGAAGTCCTCGTAGATACTGTGATCCGCAAGCAGGTGGGGTCCATTGATCGTGAATGTATGACCATACTGTCTATCTTTGCAATTGAAATCACCCCAAACGACATCTGGTTGGAAGTTGCCGATCTCAGGAGGATTCATGTAGTGTTCAACTTCTGCCTTTGTTAAGGAGTTGAGTGGGAGGTGGCATACAGCCATCCGAATACCAGTGCAGGAGAAGAAAACCGCATATGGTAATGAATGAATGAGGTGGAACTTCGATAAGTGATGCTTGGAAAACATTATCAATACCACAGGGCGAAGGATGTACAGGGCTGTGTCGTGCAGTGTGATGTAAGATACGATGCATTGTGGAAGAACGTACATGATTCAGAAAAGTTGCATTGTGCCAGGTTTCAACCACACACATAACGTCAACCTGATCTAAAATCGATATAACATTTACACACTTATCTGGTTTCGCCGGATTATCTATTTTGAGAACTCGTGGGCTAAGAAAGGTCCTACCATTATTCGTCCTCTGACAAGTTGACATCGGGTTTTGAATTGTTGATTTCCATGTCGCCATCTGCATCACGTGCTTCCAGTTGATCTGCCTTCTCCAAGAGTCGGGAAACCGCTGATGGGGCAGTTGGGTTGCGTGCTGAGTCCTGGGTTGTGGGGTTGTCTCGCTTTGATTCCTCAATGCACTCGGTTGTAGATTTGAGGATATCGATATCTACTGATTTTGCCGAAGGATTCAGAGTAGATCAAGACTGTTGCCGATGATCTCAAGTGCCAAGTCTGTATCGCCGGGCCTCGCGCTTGGTTCGAAGATAGTGTATAGTTGCTGCTTTGGCTGAATCTGGGTGCTTATTAGAGCGGGGATCGATATCTTCGTCAAGGCGCCAATTCCAGGAATCATTCGTAATTCGTTTCAATCTGGCGTCGTCCCCAGCGGAAATGCAGATTCGGATGATGCTGGTTGCTTGGCCTTGACGATTGCGTTCGGAAATTGGGTTCGATGGCAGCTACCAGAGAAGATGATGACGTTTTAAAAAAGGGTGGGAGCGACACACCTCGAAGGTATAGCGTGAGGAAGGCTTGCCATTTGGAAATAGTGCTTTGAAGAAGAAGCAGACAGAAGTTATATCCGTCAACTCGTCTAGAGATTTTTCATGAGCTCTTCAGAAACTGCTGGGCGGGCTATTACTTTTGGTATTGGAGGGGATTGTCGTGTTTTAGGGGACGGTTTTGTAGATTTAGCTACTTTAGAACGGTAATTGCGATGTTACGCGGCCCTTTGGTGTACAAGCATTTTGCCTGTGCAGGTGTGCAAGGCACATTGGTGGGAGGGGGGTGCGAGGTTTCGGGTTTTTTTCTTATTCTTTTTTTTTTTCGGGATATGTTTTTTATTTCCGTCTTCAGTTCTACACTGGTGACCTCGGGGCTAAGATCAATACGGTTTGGGTATTAGGCATAAAACTTGACCGTAAACTTATAATTTTATGATTTATAAACGGTTGACTGACTATTGAGGGCAACTTTACAAACGAAATTATAATGTATTTCACTTCGAATTTCGACCTTTTTAAACGAAATGGGCTATACGACCTTTGTCAACCAATGAGAATCTGCTTACGTTTCATTCAAACGGCTGGTAATATTTGAACTGTTGTATTACTAACTGCGCTAGTAACTAGAGAATTAATGCAAATAAGATTTAAAACGTAAGTAGTAATGCGTTGTGCAAAAAGAACCTTCTTTTTCATACCTGTCCTATTTAAGTTTAACAGACGCTTCACGCTTCACGCTTCACGCACGCCCACGAAAGCTGTAATTCCGCCGGCCAACTTCAGTCTTCAGTCATGCCACCGAGTAACCTCAGCGACAAAGCCGATCAGACCGACCAAGGGGGCGTACACAACCAGAAGACCTATGTCCTTTATGCAGAGTTTGGCAGACCATACAACAAATGTATACTGTTAGAGCTACTTACACTTTGCGAAATGCCATTCTCAGTCAGTTGTACTGTTTGGGTTCATATAGTATATGTAACAGTCTCAGTAGAAACTACACAAGAGAACGGCCATTGCTTCCAATGGACTAAGTGACAGATTCAAGAATGGCATCTCTGGGGAACTCTGTCGATTCGCTGCTAAGTAGACTTTACAGCTAAGCAGTTGCAATGCATCTATGTGTGTAGTTTCATTTAAACCTTAATAAGTCCTGCTACTCCTTCTACACTTTCGTGTGTCTAGTGAATGAGGGTAAAATTGTGCAAGTTCTAAGGAATGATCTAGTACACCCATTCAGTATCAGCATTTGATTAAAAACAAAGCCTAGACGTGATCAACCTTTATTTTTATGTAATTGTTAGCGTGTGAATACATAACTTTACAGAATAAATCGTTCTTATTCAAGATATTGAATACATTAGGTTCCAAATTATTATCTTTCCTCAAATCGTACTCTCGATGAGACAACCACTTACCCTCAATCACGACATCACGAGATTCTACTCCCAAGCAATACCCTTAATATAATCCCAGTATTGTCTGTCGTCATATTAAGACTGCGTGCCACTTTGTTTGCTATTTCGCACAATGGTTTGTCGTGTCGTTCGTTGGTAAGTTTGATGAGTTTGGTGTCGACGTCGTACATTCATGAGATCCTTTTAGATGAAGTGCAAACTTCGCTATCTGTATTTCGCATCAGTTGAAACGATGGCCACAATGATCTGCATATCGCCAGACCAGTGTGGAACCAAGCGTCCTCTTTGAATGTGGCAAAATCATCACATAGCAAGCATCTCCCTTCAGAAATTGGATCTTTGATTCACAATTTATATTCGAGACCACAGGGGCATACCGTTGTTCTCTTGCATGTTCTCTTGCCCTCGTTTGCCATGGATGCCTCACGAGTCGATTGAAACTTTATTTTTAAGTTCTATATGAAGCTAAGAGCTATGCACATCGTCGCCTGTAAAAATCAATCATTGCTAAACTTGGCCATTCTGAAGACAGAACTCTTTTCCAAGATCAGTAAATTGAGTCACATATAAGTGAAGACTCAGTAATGACTAAATCCGATGATTCACATTTCAATGGCATCGATTAAATTTCCATATTTATACGGACAAATCTGCATGCATTTAGACGTAGCTCGGCACCATTTCATTGACCACCAGAAGATTCAACATCGTTCTGTTTGATTGCAGAACTCGGCAGTATCTTCCATTACTCTAAATACTTTCCAAAATATCAGCTTGAGAGTAGGAACAACCTCGGAATAGATTCTACCGATACTCATGTTTTGTGTTCAGTTATAATTGATACTTTCAAGTATTGCTAATGTCTAACTTTAGAATAATAATAAAACTATATCACCAAAAGAAATTACCC